CCATCCCCTCCCATCCCATCCTTTCTGCCCGCAGTATGCCATGCTCCTGTCCCTCATCTTCCTCATCGTCCTGGTGGCCGCCATCGTGGGGTTCGTCTTCAGGCACGAGGTGAGTGTGGGTGGCCAGTGCTGTCTCCCAGTGCTGCAGAGTGCGTTTGATGCTGCTTTTACCCCAGTGTCACCGAGGGACAGAGGGGCTGCCTGGGAGAGGTGCTTAGCTTGTCAAATATAGGGTTAAATCAGCATAGAGAGCAGCTTGGTCCCTGTAAGGATCCAGAAGCACCAGCCTGGGTGCGGGGTCAGTCCAGCACAGCATGTTGTCCCTCCATCAGGACAGGGACAGACAGAGTAGCCCTGGACTGTAATTTCTGGCTTTGGTCTATCTTCTGCAATAATTTCAGTAATGAAAGCTCCTGGGAGGCTTTCTGTGCCTGCTTGGGAGGGCGCTGGCACGGTGCAGCTCCTTGTTATTACACACAGCATCCCTGCTGCCACGGTGCACCCGGCCTGCCCTCTAATACAGCCTCTAATTGCCTGTGCTGGGAAATGGCTGCTGGCCACGGCTGGAGTCACTGCTGCCATCGGGGGTGACTAACGTGGGGTGGGAGGGACAGCAGGACAGGAGGGACAGCAGGGCCCTGACACCTCTGTCCGACAGATAAAGACCAGCTTTGAGAGCAACCTGGAACTGGCCTTGAAGGACTACAACGCAACTGCAGATCCGCACAGTGTGGCTGTGGACACCATCCAGAGCACGGTGAGAGCCCCAGGTGGGGATGGCTGAGAGCCCCAGGTGGGGATGGCTGAGAGCCCCGGGCTGCCAGCAGGTGGGAATGCTGCCCTGGCTCAGGGTGTGCCCTCTGGCCTCTGTGGCACCAGCATCCCCTCACAGGCTTTGGAATTTGGCAGCTGCTGGGTGAGATGGGGGAGCCATGGCAGTGGTGGGGGAGCAGGGCTCGGTTCCCTGGTGTGACCAGGCTCCCCACATGTGCTTCCCACTCCAGCTGCACTGCTGTGGAGTGCAGAACTATTCCGACTGGGAGAAGACTGAGTACTTCAGCCAGAAGGGCATCCCCACAAGCTGCTGCAAGAAGCAGGACGACTGCTCCGATCAAGATCTCAAAGACCCAAACAAGGCCCAGCTGAAAGTGTTTGTGAATGTAAGTTAAGCTCAGAAAAATGTGCCTGCTGGCCCTAGAGGTGGGAAGGCAGGGATGGGTGTGTGCAGGGGGGCCAGGCTGTCCCTGGCAGGCTGGAAAGGAGAAGTGCCCTATTGATGCTGATGTTCAGTGCTCCAGGGACTCCCCTGGAGTGGGTCAGGGTATGGAATGCTCCCTTCTGTCTGAGGTTCCCTCACTCCTTCCTTCAAGGTCAGGGCCCAGGCAGACCCAAGCTCTGGCCTTTGGGGATGTGTGATTTGAAGAACAGGTGTGCAAGGAAACAGCTGCCCAGAAAAGTTTGTTTCAGCAGTGCTGCCATCTCTGTCCCTTGGGTGCAAAGTCCTGACCTGGTGCTGAGGGTGTGTGACCTCATCCCTGGGGATGGTTGGGTGATGCAAGGGCTCCTGTGATGAGTCACCTGGCTGGGGCTGGGAGCAGCCCAAGGGCAGCGCTGCCCTTGGTGAGGCCTCTGGGCTGGGGCACTGGGAATGGCTGTGCTGGGGCCTGGCAGGAGGGGTGAGCCCAGACCCCCCTGCTGCCTGCACAGGAGCATCTTCCCCTGCAGCTGTGGGGAGGAGCTGCTCTGTGCCCCTGGGCTGAAAGACACTGCATCCACGTGCTTGCTTGGCTTCCTCTGCAGGGTTGTTTTTTCCTGGTAACGTCAACAATGGAGTCCAAGATGAGCGTTGTGGCCGGAATCTCCTTTGGCATCGCGTGTTTCCAGGTAAATCTCCTTGTCTGGCTCAGGAGGAGGGCAGGGTGAAGCCAGCACGTCTCCAGAGGGATTTCATTTCAGTGCAAAGTCTGGTGCGTACAAAGGGCTGGTTTCAGCCAGGGAGGAGCAGCTCCTCTGTGGATTCCCCTTGGTTTCAGCCTGACTGCTGTGCAGGCCCTGGTCTCTACACCCAGGGCTGAACCCCAGCTCTGTTTCCTTGAGCCCAGGTTTTTTATTGTTATTATCTCCTCTCTGAAACAACAGACTCCAAGAAAAAACAAACAGAGATGGACAAACTCTGTGCCTGCTGTTGGCAGGGATCACATCTGTGCCCTTCCTTTTCCTACCCACCCTCACTGTTATCAGGGGCTGTTTGGCATCGCTCCTGTGTGGTGGGGTCACCGTGAGTGCCAGTGTGACACCACTTGTGCTGGTGACACCCAGCCCTGCCCTGTGTCCTCTCCTGCAGTGTCTCCTTCACTTTGCCGTGCAGGGCACTGCCTGCAGCAGCAGCAGCAGCAGCAGCAGCAGTGTGCTGGCCAGCCCCAGCCCCAGAGCTCTGTCCCAGCAGGAAGCAGGAGGCCTCTGCCCCCAGCCGGCGCTTTCCCGAGGTGCTGAGGGCTTTCCTGGCTGCAGGATGTGCAGCTGGCCCTGCTCCAGCTGCACTGGGCCAGCCTGCTGGGCTCTGGGCTGAGCAGGCAGCCCTCACGTCAGAGGGGCTCACACTCTGCCTCCCCTTGGCCCAGCACCCAGAGGCTGTGGTGTGAGCATCAGGGTGCTGCTGGCTGGGACTGGGGACAGGAACCTGTGAGGTACTCAGCTGTATGGGCCTGTCACTGTGTGTTTTCTGTGCAGATGGACTGAACTGGGGAGAGGTGGGAGCCTGCAGCTGTGGTACTGAGGGTTTGGGAGAGCCCAAGCTGCCCTGCTGTGCCTGCTCCTCCTGGGCTGGTGTGAGCTGGGCTGGCTCTGGGCTCACTGAGATGTGCCTGATTCACCAGTGGTGACCTGCACACACACACATTCCCAGCTGCAGCATTATCTCAGCTGATGGCAGGCTTGGGCATTGTCACCAGTTCCTGGCTTTTATTGCCCCTTCCACAAGCTTGGCTGGGTCACACCTCAGACAGGGAGCCATTGTGTTGATGTGCCTCTAACGTGGCTTGTGGAGGTCACAGTCATGCAGGGTCTGGCCCTGGAGCCTGCACAGGTGCTGGGAGGCTGTGTTGTGATAACAGAGCACGTGTGATAGCAGCACCTTCCTGATGGGAGAGCAGCAGCCTTGCTTCCCCAGTTCCCTTGCAGCAGGGAGAGGTGCTGCCATTCTCCAGTGGCTGTGCAATTGGCTGTGACACTGCTGGTACCTGTGTAATCTCTGCAATCACCATAAAACAGTCAATGCTTCATGAAGCAGCTTGTAATGGGATGGGACCTGGGGCATCTCTTGTGAGGAGCTTGTTTAGTTGGTGCTGCCAGGATCCTGTGCTTCAGCCACTGTCAGTGATACTGAGGCAGGGTGCAGCAGCCCTTGTGGGAGTTTGTAAACCCCACTGTCCATGCTTAGATTTCATAAAGCTCTGGATCAATCTGTCAGGTTTTCTCCTGAAAGCACCTCTCCCTGGTTTTGGCTGTCTCTGACATGCAGGGTTTGTTTTTTTCTCTTTTTCAGTTGATTGGCATCATCCTGTCCTGCTGCCTGTCCCGGTACATCACCAACAACCAGTATGAAATGGTGTAGCTGGCCCCCAGAGCTCTGTGCCTGTGGCTGGGTATGTCTGTAAGCCTGGGGGCTGCTGCTGGTCACCCGTGGGGTGGGGGTACCACATGTTGGGGGTTAGGGTTAGAGGGCACCTGCAAGACCAGGTCTGCTGTGCCATTTGACCCTCTGCCATTTGACCCTCTGCCATTTGACCCCGTGCCATTTGACCCTCTGCCATTTTACCCTGTGCCAATTTACCCTGTGTATAAACCCATGTAAATCCATCCTGCTTGCTAACACTCTCTGTGTGCATTGCAGGGAATGGCTCCACCTCAGGTGTTCCCCTGGATGCCACGTCGTGAAATCTTGCTTTGAACTGACTGATCTTCTTCTCAACTAGCTCATAGAGAGGAGTGCAGCAGCTGTCCTGCTGCACTCAGGGACTTGCCCTGACACTACTCTGCTGTGCCACTGCCTGGGATGATGACTGGTGTGGCTGTGGTGGCTGCAGCCCCAAGTGCCACCCTGTGCTGAGCTGACTGTGCTGGTTCAGCACAGCTCCCAGGTGTCCCAGTGCTCATCTTCAGTGCCTCCACTGGGAAAGGGATGCTTCCCCTTGCCTTGGGCAGCCCCTGGACACCCCCTCACTCTCCAGACACAGTTGTTCTTGAGACAGGGCTGTTAAACTCAGTCCTGCCTGCCTGAAGCCTTGGCTCAGCAAGGTTGTTGCCAAGCTGTCTCCTCCCTGCCTGGGTTTTATATACTTTTTTATAGTTGTACTTCTTTAAGGACGGGCTGTAGTGGTTCTTGTAAGCTGTAGTGAGGTTTGGTGATGTAGCTCCTGGTGCCTTTACCTTGGTAGGTGTCCTTGCACCGATTCAGCTGTGACTTGATTGTCAGTATTATATGCTGCTTCAACTCATTTTATGTATTGAGTAGAATTCTTTTTGTCCTCAGACACAATAAATATTAAGATATTTTACTCTATGAAACCTCCTTGACTTTTCTTTTCATGTCCTGGAAATTCCTCTGCTTGAAGAGCAGCGAGTGCCCCCAGGCTGATCTGCTCACTCTGGGCCAGCCAGGAACCTCTGGCCACTGCAGTTTGCATTCCTCCAATGTGCACTGGTGCACTTCTGCCTGCAAATAACTTCTGTAATTGAATTTTCTTCATAACAGCCGTTGTGTAACAGTGCTGGAGCAGAGGGCCTGGAGCTCCCCAGCCCAGGAGCAGGGTGAGTTACTTCAGCCCAGTGTGAGCCATGCTTGGCCTGCTGGCTTGGAGCAAAGGGCAGGGCAGTGCCAGGCCCCAGCTGCTCCCCAGGGCAAGAAATGTGCATGTAAGCTTTTAAATTCATTTGTTAGTGCTCATTTTGGGCTGTTTTGTCAGCAAGCCTCTGCCTTTGTGAGCCTGGTGCTGCAGTGAAGCAGTGAAGCTCCTCTGCCAAGCTTGGGGGATTTTTGAGTCTCAGGCACTGAACTCAAACGAGCTGAGCTGTGTCTGGCTGGATGTGGGGCTGCCTGTGCTGTTCCTAGGGAGGAGGCAGGTGTACCCAGAGCAGGGAAGCCACCAGTGGTGGCCCTGTGTCAGTGTCACCCCTCTGGCCAAAGCTGCCCCAGCAATGGTCTGGTATGGGCCAGCCTGGCTGCTGAGGGAGGGAAACGCCCCAAACCCTCATGATGCATTTATCCCAGGTGAGTAAACCAGGCTGCTGTCAGCTCCTGGCTGGCTGAGCCCCCTGTGAGGGATGTGAGGCACAATGTGTCAGAGCTGGGAGCCGGGCTGGAGACTGGCTGCGGGGAGCTGAGGGTGTCTGGCAGCCCTGGGGGTGCCACACCTGGCACCCGTCCCTGTTCCCTGCTCTGTCTGCACATGCCAGCCACGGCAGAGTGCTCCCCTGGTGACACTGAGGATGTCAGCTCCTGCTGACACCTGCAGGGTGTCAGAGCTCCTCAGCAGCAGCTGGCCCCTGGGGTGACATCTGGGACCTGGCTTTGGCATGAGCCCAGGGTCATGGGCAGAAATGTGCCCAGGGTGCATGGAGGTTTTGGGGAAAGCCTTCAGCCCTGTGGCAGGCACTGTCCTGCTCAGGGCAGCTGCAGTGCTCAGGACTTACTCCATCCCTCCTGCAGCTCAGGCTTTGCCCATTTGTTGGTGACAGCGCTGGGGACAGCTGGTGGTCCTTCACAGGAGTGGACTCGCTGTGACTTTGGCAGCTCGGTTCCTGAGGGAGCTCCTTGTGCCAGCTCACTGTGCCTGTGCTGGTGGCACCCCTGAGCTGTCAGCAGCTGAACTGAACCCGTCAGAGCAGGCTGGAACAGGTCAGGCCATGCTGAGCAGCCCCCAGCAGCACCAGGGCCCCCTGCACGCTGCAGCGCCCGCACTGAGCTCTGGATGCTCCCAGAGGCAGCCCCGCAATCAGATCCCTTCGCAGACCCATCGAGCACCACACTGACACTAAAGGACTTCAGTTCTCTTTGCAATCACTCATACAGGACGTTTATTGTTTGCCTCTTGCTGCCCAGCCTGGCTCCCGCAGCCCCGCGGGGGCA